CAGCACTCGCGGCAGCAGTGACGCCGCCGCGGCGGCCCACACACGTCGCCGCCAGCATGGACGGGCTTCTCGGTGGACGCTGTTGTCGCCCGTCTACGGACTGTTACGGGAGCTTCTGGTAGATGCAATATGCCGCCGTGGCTCCCCCCGCTGTTCTGCCGATGGTTCTGTGCAGTTCACGACAGTCGAACGTGACCTGGTTCACGTTAGAGTCATCGTACAACCACCTTCCGTCGGGAACGCATGGCGACGTGCTCTCGGGCTCTACGCATCCACCATCCATGCAACCGTGCGCCCGGGGGGGCAGGGGACGCTCAGAACTGACAAAAATCAAGTCCGAGGGCTCGCCGCTATGCTTTCCCGCAGTCCTGGCCACCACGTGCTGTCACTTGCGCGGGTCGACGCAGACCGCGTGCGCCTGCACACGGAAACCCAGTGGCCCGTCATGGCGGAGCTGCCCGCGTGGAAAGCCACGGCCGCCAGCTCATAGCGTGCGCCGCCCACCGCGAGGGACAGGTCGCAGTGGACGTAGTGCATGTGCTTCAGAGTCCGGTTTGTCGACCTGTCGTAGTAGAACCGGCCAAGACCCAGGGCCAACAGTTCCGGCCAGTGAGTGATGAGCGTCTTCTTCATGGCCACTCCGCCCGACCCGCACACGCCGCACGTGTACTCGGCCAACGTCGCGTCGTCAATTCGACTGACTGACTGCCGGAGCGCTTCGCTCAACGTGTCCGCTAGAACAGCGCCGAACTCGTCCGCGACTCTCACGTAATGCACCGAGAATGGAAACGTGCGCCGGGTGCACCACTGCGACGTGCCGAGGCAAGGCTGGTGGGGGCACGCGTACACGTCGGCGTATGTACCAGTAAACAGACTTGCAACGGGCGACTCCTCCGCTGCAAGTGCAGTCAGCACGCGCCGGAGGAAGTCGAACGAGTCGTCGTGGTTTCCAGCGTACACGAGGAGTGGGCCGCCCTCCGCTGGCATGTACCACTCGATCGGCAGCTCCGTGCGGCGCGTGGAGTCGCAGAAGAAGCGGAGGGGCTGGTAAGGCAGTGACTGAGCAGACGGCAAGGATGATTGCGCTTCGCAAAGTACGTCCACGAATCGCGCGCTGACGGCGCCCTGGTGTTCCTCGGCAGCGGCCCTCCGGACGGCGCGCCGCACCTCCCAGTTCGTGAAGAGGGCTGCAAACGCACTGTTGATGAAACAGCTCGCGCCCATGTTCGACGCCGGGCGCACGACGGACTCGTAAAGTTGTGAAGCACTCCAGTGTTCCCACCTGTTGCAGTCGTGCGTCACCGTCCCCGCGCGCAAGCACATGTCACAAGGGGTGAATCTGCAAAGCGCGCTCCTGCAATCTGCATGGCATCTGTGGCCGCACGCGGGACACGGCGGTGCGTCTGCCGCCTCGCAGTAGTGCGCGTCCACTGTGCAGCGCCTGTGCTCTCTGCAGGGCGGCGGCTGAGCGTCGGGGGCGGCCGCGTCCGGGGAGTTCGCGGGGTTGGCGGGCGCGGCGTGGTCTGCGCGGTCCGCGCTTGTCCGCGCACGCTTGGTGCGGTCGTTGTCGGAGCAGGTCGAGATGCCAGACTTTCCCCGGAGCCGCTTGCGGGTTCTGGGTGCGTCCGTCGCGGCCTGCGACGTCTGGGCCGCGGGATTGCGTCGAGAAGCGGCAACCCGAGATGCCTGCTCCGATGCCGCATTCGGTGCAAGGACCGCGTCCATGAGATCGCCCTGTAGATCGCCCCCAGCCTGGTCGCGTAAGATGCGCACGAGGACGGCCAGCGACGATGTCTCCATGTCGGCCAGTCTGGAGATCTCGTCGAGCAGGAACTGCGGCGGCTTTCGGGAGAGTTCTCGTCTGGTCGCAGGTCGTAGGATGAACAGGCTCTCGACGGAGATTGCGCGGGAAATCATCACGTAGCATGCCAGCCAGTGCGTGTCCGCGTCCATGGAAGGCGGCCGCTTCATGTCAGCCACCACTGCTGAGTAAGTGCCTCCTTGAGCGCCGTATACAATAATTGTATCTGCAGGTAGCAGCCGATACGTGGTGCGGAGAAGTGTTCCTCCCCCCACGCCGCGCGCAAGTACCCACACGTCGGTCGTAATTGGAAGAGCCCGCGCCGGTCCGTACACGTCGGGAGGTCTCCAGCCAGGTGGGCCGCCGGAAGTTCCCACTCCGCGCCGTCAGCCTGCAACCACAAGGAGACAGGCATGAAACGCAAGTGCACGACGTTCTCGTCGACGGTGCCCGGCTGGAACGGTTCCCCGTCGGCGAAGACGATGTGGCGCAGTGTACATACGCAGCCCTTCATGAGGCCCAGCCGGACGCAATCTTTGGAGCACATCGTCAGGCGCATCCCGATGTACAGGGGCAGGAGGCTCGGCAAGTCCTGGGTGTCCTTCGGGCTCACCTTCTGCAGGAGCTCTCGTCGGACCTGGTCTGTCAGTTTGAGGGAGTCGGCGGGGTCCACCGGCTCGTCTCTTGCTTGGACGACGTACAGGACGTGGCCATGCCGCGCTGCGTGTTGCTTGGCGTTCTGCATGGATCGGTAGACGCGGATTTTGTGTCGGTGGACGATGTACGTCCAGGGGTGCGTCGAAAAAGGCGACGCGGGGTGGTGCGGACGCGCGTCATCAGGACATAGTATGCGGCTGGTATAGAGGGACCACATCGCGTCTGAGATGCCCCCGGCACGCATTTCCGCCAGCAGCTGGCTGAGCGGGCCAGGCGCGCGGACGTTGACGTCAAGCGTCACGACGTGCCGGACGCGGCGCCACAGCTGCAGTCCTTGCACTGTTTCCACGTGCTTGGATCTCTTCCTGTCCACGTCCTTTTCGAGGCCGTCATCAGCTTTCTCATTGAGGACGTCAACCTCGTCAAGATCCGTGGCGAAGCTCTTGCTGTCTCCCGTTGTGTCGACCGGTGGGAGCTGCATGAAGTCCCCGGAGAACGTCATGCCCATGCCGCCCCAAGCCCGGGTGGAGTTCTTCGCTGTCTTCAGCCGGACTTCTGCCTGGAAGAGCTGCGCCGCTGCGACCATGGAGACTTCGTCAATGAAGCACGCGCGGGCGCTCTCCCATCGGCTTCGATGGGTCTCCAAAACACTGCGAGTGAGGCGCCCGCGCTTGCTGGACACTGTCACGTTGTTGCCGAACGGTAGCTTGCAGAGTGCGTGGGGCGTGTCCCCCTTGAGAAGTCGCGCCGCCGAGTTCGACGGCGCGCATTTCTGCACGGTGTCTGGACCGATAAAATGGCACGCAACTGCTTCAACAACTCGCAGGACCGCCGTCTTGCCAGCGCCGCCAGGGCCCATGAGCGCGAGCTGGAACCCGTCATCAAGAGAGAGTCGCCCAGTGGCTGTCGGCCCCGACGGGTCGTCGAACCCCCACGCGCGGTTCATCACGTCCTGTAGCCAGGCAGCATTCCACATCAGGGCACGCGCCTGTTTCACGTTGATCTCCGGCATGTCGACAACGTTCAGAACGCCCGCTCGGAGCAGGTGAACGCAGGCGTCGAGCACTGCTGTCCGAGTTTGGGGAGGCACCGGAGGGAATGCAGACTCTCGGCCGTTCGCCATTGCGGCGCCCAGCCGGTGCTGCAAGAAGCCCACCGTCTTCCTGGAGGGGGTTGCCGATAGGTTGGAGGCGTCTGCTTTCCATGCGTCAATCATCTTGAAAAAGTCCGCCTGTCGGTCCGCAGCTGCCAGGGAGGCGGCCGGGCGCAGCCGCGCGACTTCTGAAGCGAGAGGCGCGCCAGCGGCCGCGCTGGCTGCTCTGAGGCGGGCGGATGTCTCCCGCGTGAACTCTACGATGTACTTCGCCTCTGCAGCTGTGCTTCTCTGCCATGACGCAGGGGCAACGACGTCGTTCAGTTCCACGCCCTCAGGCAAAGTGCCGCAGAGTACGCTCGTCGGGTCGGGAGCTCTGTGCCGCGGGGCGGGGTCGCTGTCACTCGCATCGCTTCCGTCCAAGGGAAGGTCGTTCGGATGGGCGTCTGCGTCGTCGTCGGTGTCCAGCACAGGATCGGGACCGTGAGCCACCGGCTCCGCCTGTCCGCTGCGCGCGGCGCCCCATGGTGGGAGGAACGACATCTGCGCACTCGAGGGGGCGGCTTCACTTATGGCTTGTCTTCTGGAGGAAGCGAAGTCGTAGTTGCGAAAGCAGTCCTCGGTTCTGCGCGCCCACCACTCCGCGGACAGAGGCGGCGTCTCCGCGGTGAACTGGCGAGCCGCCTCTCGGATTGAAGTTTCCCAGGCGTGGAAATCGTTGACGACGGCTCTTTGGAATGCGCACTCGCCATGCGCCCATGGTTCTCGAGTGATCCGAGTGACAAAGTCTTTGAGGGATCGGAATGGCCTAAACAGAATCATCACGTGCAACGCGTAGGCGAACCACGCGTCGTCGAGGTCGTCTTCGGCCGGCCGGCCGGGCAGCTTGCCGTAGAGAATAGGCACCTTCCACGGCTTTGTCAGGCGCAATGACACGTAGTACGCGTACCTGTACAGCATGGCACCGTGGGGCTCGTCGTCGGTCGGATCCCCGCGGAGCGGCACTCCATCGCACGTCGCGCTCGCCACTGGTGCAGACGTGCACTGCCGGCGGGCCTCGCCTGGAAGCCACCGGAGAGATCCTGGGGGGGGCTTCTTTCCAAGAGGCATCTTGGCGTCGCAACTCGCGAAGAAGAAGTACAGCGGAAAGTGCTCCAGCTCAGCGGGTCTGTGCACGTAGTCCAACTCCCCTAGATGTAGATTGGCGGGAGTCACCCTCGTCGCATACGGTCGGGGCTGGCCCGAATCTGCGGAGCCCGCCTCTCCGCGTGCTGATCGGCATATTTTGGCACGGATGATCGCGAGAAGCTTGCCGAAGAAGACTGGGACGAACGTGTGGCTGCTGTACACTATAGGCTTGCGTAACAGGTAACTGATCATGTCAGGGAAGCCTTTGTGCATCCGGTTGTTCGTGGCGGCTACCAGGGTGTGCAACAACTTGCGAGCCTTCTACTGGTCGTCGTTCGCTTCCCGGGCGGCATCTGCCAATGCTGCGCGCTCCTTTCTCTCGAGGGACGCGGCTAATGTCATCTTCAGCCCGTCTGTATGCGGCTGCGCTTTGGAGGAGTACGCCGAGGCGTAATACTCGTGGTCGCCCATGGCTTCCGCCATTGATGCTTTCACTTGGGCGACGCGGGCCGCGCCCGGGAGGTTGGCGTCGTCTGCGGGGATGTCGCAGAATCGCAGCAGGACAGCCAGGTCATGGTTGCACTGCGGCCCGAGCATAATGGCGGGGCTCATGCGGAAGTGGAACGGGTGCGTGGTCTCGAGGGCCGGGAGCCCGACGTGGGGCGGATAACGCCACATCGGCAACTGCCCGGACCCATCCCATCGGTCGCGTAGTTCCAAACCATGTTGTCGTCGAGCAACGTCTTTCTTTTTCTTCTCGTCTGTCTGTCGGGCCCAATGCCAATAATGCATCCGGCAGAACCCCTTCTTCCCGAGTCGCCCTTTGCAACACGCTGCTGGGCGACAGACGTGGTTGCCCGTTTTCCTGTCGATCACTGCTCTGGGGTTCACAGTTCGAGGGGGTCACGGGCGAGCGCGGGCGAACGACCGAGCGCGCGCTGGCTGCAGGGGCCCCACACCTTGTCCCCTGCCCCAGGCGACCCCGCGAAAAGGCAAACGTGCGGCTCGAAACGGGCATAGGATGTCCGAGAAAAACCAGGGGCCCAGGGGGAATTCAGCGAGCGACTGACGTTGCGACCCCTCATACCGTGAACCCCCACGAGCAGACGAGCGATCCTCGTCCGCGAGAAGACTTCCCGCACTGCTCTCTCAGACCATGCTCCGCTGTCGACGTTGGGGTCGCAGGAGAAGGACGACGGGAAGAATGCGAAATCAGGCACGTCGCTGGCGCTCGCAGCTGGATGCTGGAGCCCCCGTCCTCGCCACTGGGCCGCGTTGCTGGCGACCGCGCGCGCGCTCCCGATCTTCTCCCGCTGCGACGCTGTCGTTCTTGTACTTCTTCGTCAGCCCATCCACAGCCCTGGCTCGCTGTGGCCCCGTTCCGAAAAGAACGGCCTCCCCTTTGGTGCAGAGGCCGGACTTCGACACAAGCGTGCAGGAGAGCACGTGCATGTTCTTCTCCGGCTTTTCCTGCGCGCCCGGGAACAAAACGCGCGCCTGCAAAGCTTTGCAGGCTGCGTTCGTGTTGTTGATCTGCTCGAGAGGGTCCGACATCGCGCTGCCGCGGCACTGCGCGAGTGACCGGAGAGCGCTGCGGCAAGTGAGGTGTGTCACGCCGCTAGAGCAACAACGGCTGCGGGGTGCGTAATTGATGGCGCTGTGATCAGACAGGTGGTCCGCGCAGCTGCCGGGGCCCCGCCACTCCTCGGCGGGGCATCAGAAGAATGTAGTCAGGGTTCCGCGCGTGGTGGGGACTCGCGGTCTGTTAGCGACCTCACTTGTGATGTCGTGCCCCTATGGCTTTCCGCGGTCGGATGCCGTGTTTCCTCTGAGTGGTGCGTGGGTGTGTTCTAGCACGGCTGCCTGCGAATGTTGGGGGGCACGATATTACACATTGTGTTGCAAGGTGTGGCTGTAGGTTCGCATCCTCATGGCGTGGCGCATGTGTGGGCCTGTGCCAGTGCGCGATTGCGCGCAAGTATATGCACGGCATTGTGCACTACTGTAGCACCGTACCGGCCACGAGGTGTGTTGTGTTCTGACGTGTCATGTGATGTCCTTTCGCGTATTGTGAAGTGCTGTGGTATCCTGCGGTGCCCCGTTCCGACCCGTGGTGTCCTGCGGTGTCCCGCTCCGTCCCGCGGGTCTCTCCAAGGCGCGCCCGCGCGCAACATCGTGGAAGAACCGCCGCCTCCCCGCAAGGGGGGGCTGGGCCGGCGTTTCCCCGGCGCGTCGCGCGTCCGCGGCCTCGCAGGACATCGCAGGGATGCGTTTTCGGTGTTGCGTGCAAGTCCAATGCCCTTGCGGTTTCCGTCGTGGCTTCCGCTGTGGTTGCCGTTGTGAATGCGAGCGCGCGTCCGATGGATGTCCCATGCCTCCGCAATTTCCCTTGCAATGTCTGCGATGGACACCAGCGCGGCTCCCAGCGTGTTTTCCGCTGCATGCTCCGTTATGGTTGCCGCCGCGGGTTCCGTAGTGAGGGTGGATCGCTGGCCTCCGTCGCGGTTTCCGGCGAGGCCCCCGTTGCGGTTTCCGCCGAGGTTTCTCCCGTGGTTGCTGTTGTCGTTACGGTTGTGGCGGTGCGTGCATGCCCCATGCCCGCGTGGTTTCCGATGTGGTTTCCGCCGTGGTTGCCGTTGTGGACGCGCGCATGCGCCCGCTGGATGTCCCACGCCTCCGCAGTTTCCCTTGCAATTTCTGCGATGGACACCGGCGCGGTTCCCAGCGCGGTTTCCGTTGCATGCTCCGTTGTGTTTCCCGCCGCGGGCTCCGTAGAGGGTGGCTCACTCGCCTTCGTCGCGGTTTCCGGCGTGGCCCCCGTTGTGGTTTCCGCCACGGTTTCTCCCGTGGTTGCTGTTGTCGTTACGTTTTCGGCGGTGCGTGCATGCCCCATGCCCTTGTGGTTTCCGCTGTGGTTTCCGCAGTGGTTGCCGTTGTGGACGCGCGCGTGCGCCCGCTGGATGTCCCATGCCTCCGCAATTGCCCTTGCAATTTCTGCGATGGACACCGGCGCGGCTCCCAGTGTGGTTTCCGCTTCGTGCTGCGTTGTGGTTGCCGCCGCGGGTTCCGTAGAGGGTGGCTCGCTGGCCTTCGTCGCGGTTTCTGGCGTGGCCCCCGTTGTGGTTTCCGCCATGGTTTCTCCCGTGGTTGCTGTTGTCGTTACGTTGTCGGCGGTGCGTGCGTGCCCCATGCCCTTGTGGTTTCCGTTGTGGTTTCCGCCGTGGTTGCCGTTGTGGACGCGCGCGTGCGGCCCTCGTTGCGGTTTCCGCCATGGTTTCTCCCGTGGTTGCTGTTGTCGTTACGTTGTCGGCGGTGCGTGCGTGCCCCATGCCCTTCTGGTTTCCGTTGTGGTTTCCGCCGTGGTTGCCGTTGTGGACGCGCGCGTGCGCCCGCTGGATGTCCCATGCCTCCGCAATTTCCTTTGCAATTGCTGCGATGGACACCGGCGCGGTTCCCAGCGTGGTTCCGCTGCGTGCTCCGTTGTGGTTGCCGCCGCGTGTTCCGTAGAGGGGGGCTCGCTGGCCTTCGTCGCGGTTTCTGGCGTGGCCCCCGTTGTCGTTTCCGGCGTGGTTTCTCCCGTGGTTGCTGTTGTCGTTGCGTTTTCGGCGGTGCGTTCATGCCCCATGCCCTTGTGGTTTCCGTTATGGTTTCCGCCGTGGTTGCCTGTGCGCCCGCTGGATGTCCCATGCCTCCGCAATTGCCCTTGCAATTTCTGCGATGGACACTGGCACGGTTCCCAGCGTGGTTTCCGCTGCGTGCTCCGTTGTGGTTGCCGCAGCGGGTTCCGTAGAGGGTGGCTCACTCGCTCTCGTCGCGGTTTCCGGCGTGGCCCCCGCTGTGGTTTCCGCCGTGGTTTCGCCCGTGGTTGCTGTTGTCGTTATGTTGTCGGCGATGTGTTCATGGCCCATGATCTTGTGGTTTCCGTTGTGGTTTCCGCCGTGGTTGCCTGTGCGCCCGCTGGATGTCCCATGCCTCGACACTTTCCTCTGCAAACTCTGCGATGGACACTGGCACGGTTCCCAGCGTGGTTTCCGCTGCGTGCTCCGTTGTGGTTGCCGCAGCGGGTTCCGTAGAGGGTGGCTCACTCGCTCTCGTCGCGGTTTCCGGCGTGGCCCCCGCTGTGGTTTCCGCCGTGGTTTCGCCCGTGGTTGCTGTTGTCGTTATGTTGTCGGCGATGTGTTCATGGCCCATGATCTTGTGGTTTCCGTTGTGGTTTCCGCCGTGGTTGCCTGTGCGCCCGCTGGATGTCCCATGCCTCGACACTTTCCTCTGCAAACTCTGCGATGGACACTGGCACGGTTCCCAGCGTGGTTTCCGCTGCGTGCTTTGTTGTGGTTGCCGCAGCGGGTTCCGTAGAGGGTGGCTCACTCGCTCTCGTCGCGGTTTCCGACGTGGCCCCCGTTGTGGTTTCCGCCGTGGTTTCTCCCGTGGTTGCTGTTGTCGTTACGTTGTCGGCGGTGTGCGCATGCCCCATGCCCTTGTGGTTTCCGTTGTGGTTTCCGCCGTGGTCGCCGTTGTGAACGCGCGCGTGCGCCCGCTGGATGCCCCATGCTCCCGTAGTTTCCCTTGCAACTGCTGGGATGGACACCGGCGCGGTTCCCAGCGTGGTTTCCGCTGCGTGCTCCGGCGCGGTTGCCGCCTCGGGTTCCGTAGAGGGTGGCTCACTGGCCTTCGCCGCGGTTTCCGGCGTGGCCCCCGTTGTGGTTTCCGCCGTGATTTCTCCCGCGGTTGCTGTTGTCGTTTCGTTGTCGGCGGTTCGTGCATGCCCCATGCCTTTGTGGTTTCCGTTGTGGTTTCCGCCGTGGTCGCCGTTGTGGACGCGCGCGTGCGCCCGCTGGATGTCCCATGCCTCCGCAGTTTCCCTTGCAATTGCTGCGATGGACGCCGGCGCGGTTCCCAGCGTGGTTTCCGCTGCGTGCTCCGTTGTGGTTGCCGCCGCGGGTTCCGTAGAGGGTGTCCGCCGTGTTTTTTAACCGCGGTCGCTGTTGTCGTTACGTTTTCGGCGGTGCGTGCATGCCCCATGCCCTTTTTTTTCTACGCAACCTCTGCAACGCACATACCTCTCACCACAGGTCTGCATCACTAAAAAATTTATGACTGCGACTAAAAAGTTACTCGGCTGTCTGACCGGAGTGCCAGAAAGAGGGGGGAGGAGAAGGGGGGAGGGCGGGAGGGGAAGGGAGAGGGAGGGGGGGAGGGAAGGACGGGGCAGGAGCAGCAGAAGAAGGGAGGAAAGGGAGAGGGAGGGGGGGAGGGAAGGGCGGGGAAGGAGCAGCAGAACACAACAACGGAGGGGGGCGAGAAGGACGAGGAGGAGCGGGAGGCGCTGAGCGCGCGACGACTAAAAAATTCGCCCCTGCTGAGATCAAAACAGCGCACAGGCCAGGGAGGGGAGGAGAAGGAGGAGAGGAGCGCCGCCGTGGCCGTGGTTTCCGCCGTGGTTGCCGTTATGGATGCGAGCGCGCGCCCGCTGGATGTCCCGTGGCCCCGTAATTTCCCCTGCAAGTTCTGCGACGGACACGTGGTTTCCTCTGCGTGTTCCGTTGTGGTTGCCGCCGCGGTTTCCGTAGAGGGTGCCTGGCTGGCCGCCGTCGCGGTTTCCGGCGTGGCTCCCGTTGCGGTTTCCGCTGTGGTTT